TTTTGATGTAAACGCACTTGCTTTTAGGATGTGGGCACTCATTGTGATGCCTCTCGAAAAAACGAATCCTCACATTATCAGCAATGGCAGAGAGAGAGCGCATCCTCAGGAACTTTCACCCTACGATGTCGCCATGTGTGCCACAGATAAGACGGTGTGTGCGGATCCCTAGCGACTGATGACGCAGGAAGAAGACCTACAGTACTTAAATGCCGCAAAAAACTTGGACGGACGATAATTTTTTACACACAAAATAATCCATTGAGGAGCGCAGCCGACGGATGGGTCAGTCACATTAGGAGAAAGTGACTGGCGATGAACTGGGATCTTCCCCCTGCGGAATCAAGTCTCTGTAATGTATGAGCTGTATTTGGAAGTTTCTTCCCTTCTCCCACCTGGCTACCTTGAAAGCTGTGCTTGATTTGCGGCGTCTTTACGGACACATTCGCTCTCAAACACCTACTGGGTCTGAGAAATCAGCCCCATAATCGTCAAATCCTTTGCTCACAACAAAATTTTTAAATTCTTGTTCTAATGAATTCAGCATGAAGTCGGAGCTATATCGCATTCAGCATCGATTTTTTGGGAAAAAGTGCCGAGTTCAATATACCAGCCGGCTTATAGTGCAATATCCTCAATAAAATGCCAACTGCGAATCGGGCATGTCAACTGCGTGCGGAATGGTTTCATGGTGCACTTAACCCAGGTGTACAGTGAGTGACCGATCTCATAAAAATGTTGACCGAACTTCTGAAATGCGTTTTCAATTAGTAAGAATTACTTAGGCGCGGTTGTAATAATGATTATCTTGCAGCATAATCCTATAATATTCCTGACTCGGCAGGATGTCGGCTTTTGAATGCACTGCTTTTCAATCTCCTGTAGAAACCTTACTCGGCAAAAAATGACAACTTAATTAGCATACATTTTGCCCACTGATTTTCGATGGTCTTGCAAATTCAAATATATTTTATAGAAACCACGAGCAAAATTTTTTTCTTTCAGTCGTTTGATAGAGAATCACGTCATCTTCATATTTTATACTTGAGGAAGGGGTATAATTAGGTTTTTAAAAAGTTCTCTAATTCCTAAATAACTTTGAGCCTGATCAGTCGTTGCATTGGCGCTTAGTGATTTCAGTCTGCAAGATGCATGCGTCCCGCGTAAAGATCGCATATTCTTCTATGCCTTTAAAAAGTTACCATACAGAGTCTGCACAATGTTGCAATAAATGCAGACAATGATATACATTTTATGAGGAGCAGTGGTAAACGTAAAGGTAAGATGCCGTATGAATGGGCATTGCACGGTCTTAAAAATCTCATAATTAGAAACTTTTTAAAAACCTTCTTATACCTCTTCTTCAAGTATAAAATATGAGGATGATGTGATTCTCTATCAAACGACTGGAAGAAAGAACTTTTGCCCGTGGTTTCTATAAAATATATTTGAATTTACAGGACCATCAAAAATCAGTGGGAAAAATGTATGCTAATTAAGTTGTCATTTTTTGCCGAGTAAGGTTTCTACAGGAGATTGAAAAGCAGTGCATTCAAAAGCCGACATTCTGCCGAGTCAGAAGTATTATAGGATTATGCTGCAAGATAATCATTATTACAACCGCGCCTAAGTAATCCTTACTAATTTAAAACGCATTTCAGAATTTCGGTCAACATTTCATGAGATTGGCCGCTCACTGTACTTCAAGCTGTGGCTGTTTCTGAGTCACCGCGGCCTCATGAGGCCAAAGCAGGCCCAGAAACACTTAAAACACTTGTCCGGACTTTTCATTTGTTGTATTGGGAGTGCGGTGGAGAGATTCCCCGTCTCTAAAAGACCCTAGGTGCTCCTTCTTTGGTCTTCTTGAACTCACAAACTCCAGGAAGCCAGAAACGGCGATTCTAGCCAAGGGCGTATGTTAAGGTCCTTTTGACACAAAAGCAGGTTGTGACTGGTGCGACAGTGAGTGTTTGGAAGATTTATTAGGTGTGTCACGGTCCGAATATGCGTATAAGCCCTGTTTAAAAACATAAATTTTTTTTGCTGGCAGCAGTAACGTGAGTACAATGACAGAGTTCATTATAGGGCCGAACTTTAAGGACGTACGTGCGCTGTGCCAAACATACCGTCCGCGTACAGACATGAAGGAGAGCAAACGCTGCAGAACATTCGTGAACATTTGGCTTTCAATGACGTATGCAGATATTCTCGCAGCGTTACCTATGCCACGCCTACTTTTGATCTACGGCTTTTGACTAGACTTGACAAACGGCCTCGTAAAGTGCATCAGCTTAGTCTCCAATTTGGCATTTGTTACTCAGAGGCGCATTAAGTCACAGAATCAATGCGGCTGTTTGCTTGTGGCATTGAATTTGCGGAAACTTTGGACAGACTTTGACGGCCGTCTTCTGAATGAGTTCATGCATAACGGAGTCAAAAGGGCCAGTCCTCAAATAGATGATGGTCACAGTGGCATCTTTTTGGTACAAATCGGGCCTTATGCTGAGTCGCTGGCGGTTCTTCCGGATGTCAGAAATTCTCATTCACTTACTCACGGGAAATTTATTTTACCTAGGACTGGAACCATCTGTCAGGTGAAATGGTGTGGTGAAGGTGATTTTGACCGCCCGGCCTTCGTTGCATACCAAAAGCAAAAACTCCCAATCTAACTGTGACACTTTCCAAAGACACCAAATAAGTTGGAAGATTTGATCAGAGAATTGGTTGTAATGTGTTTTGTCCCAGCAAAGTCTTTTGTTATAGTAAGTTATTGCGACGGTAGGTGGACACTCACCAAAAGTCGTCAAAGGACCTTTGCTCGGCTATATCCGATTTTTAATC